GGTGATTAGCTACAAGCATAACCAGCAGCAGCCAGTACTGATGAAATTCCTGGGGACAAAGCAAGATTGTCTTTACGGTCTTAGTACATAGATACGCATTCCTGTCTGACTCATCTCGAGCGAAATTTCTTGAAAGAATGTGTAAGAGAGCTAAAATGAATGTTATTCAGTCATTCAAAGACTTGCGTAAGGTTCTCTCGTTTCCCTTCCACTCATCCTAAAAAGGCACTTCTTTGTCATTACACATAGTTATGCCGCTACCATATACATATATACCATACCATATACATACTTCGCTACCATACCTCAGGTATCACACAATGTAAACTGGAGATGTGGCAAACAGGACAAGCACCCTTATTGCTCTTATTATGCAGCCGGATGTAAGTTCCACAAGCATTCAATATCATCTCGTGCGTCGACTGGTACCAAATCATAAATTGTTGAATAGATTCTCTTCACTCTTAGCCGTTTGACGCCGATGAGCGTCATCTGTTCACCTCTGTTTGAGACTGCTCATTCACTTTCAGAATAATAATGGATACATGACGAGAAGGGCCAACCATTTCGATGTACACCACATATATCGTAATCGCGAAATGGCCTTCGTAAGCATTACACGGTCAGTTGGCAGAAACACGACAAACTGACACTTAAAGTGAACTAGGAATGTTTCAAGCGTGAACAATATTGCTATGCTAGTGTCCAGGGATGCACACTAAGGCATAAAAATAATTCACTAACATCTAATCTTGCGCATTGAATGACAAAAACTCGTTTGTTCTGTATAATGGATTCAATCCTCACTAGAACACTGCCGCCTGCTTATCAGAAGCTGCTGGTTTTAATTTTGAGCTCATTTTTAATCATGCATTAGCTGTGAGGTGAAATTGAAACACGTGCATGATATCTTATCCTACCGGAAAATAGCACACCAGGAAACTGTAACGGGGGAACGTCTGACACTGACGAAACACAGTCAAAAGTCGGATAATAAGCCCCTTGCCTGTTCCTGCTCGGGAGAAGTGATCATTGGTTTGATCTTTGGTGCTCCGTGCTACATTGCTGCATGCTTCAGCCCCTTTATGAAATCCTGCTCCAGGGGCGTAGGAACTTTGTTCAAGTTGGGGCAGAGAGAACTTCAAAATGGAAAAGTTCCTAAAATGCTCAATGGAAGCATTTATTCAGTGAATGACCGTTAAACCAACATAATACAGTAGTTTCAATTCCAAGCAACGTACAAAACGACTACACACGTAATATTTACGTACATTCTATCCAACAAACAACATTGCCAAATTCATAAAATTGAGTGGCAATTATAATGCTGTTTTGGAAAGGTACTACCATAATTTCAACCAAGTTAACTAAAACGTCTAAGAAACACTAACCTCTCTTATCATAACAAAGCTACGTTTCCTCCTGATGCTGCCAGCGGTCCAGTTTAACTCCAATGGCTAACATTGCATTTCAGCGTAGAAAAACTGAGCAAGAAAATATAATTTTGGTCGAAAGCACACCACAAAGTTTTGGAATTGAAGTACTTGTCTGAGAAAATTAAATGGCAAGCTCATTGGTAGCACTATAGTTCCTGTTCATCTAGTGAGCCAGCCAAATATCTGAGTCAAACACCAGCCTCAAATAAGGTATACTGCCATGACGTATGGATTTCCAACTGTCTGCCAAAAACAAAAGCTGTTGCATCTTTACATGGTATAGTGCTGGGGAAATGTAGGGCATGGTAAATATCAAAGTGAACTAAGATGTCCTCCTTACAATAACTACATACGTGATACTCGTTAAATGAGTTGTATTTTGACTAGGTTTTCAGCCCAGAACCTTGCTTACAGAATCGAAAAGTTCAAAGATAAAGCGGACACCAGATGCTAGCCAGTGTTGACAGTGTTTATCCCAGGAAACGTGGTCAAATGGCACACATTTTCAGCACCCTGAACACAAAAATTACAATAAATCGTAGGAGACAGAATACACTAGTTTTGCACAGATCAGGACTACGTATGCTCCAGGATGAAATATTTTAAATTTAGTATGGGTTTCAGGTTGATCAATTTATATACATTGTGGCGGAAGTGGCCTCTGTTGTTGTTTTTTTTTTGTGCAAAATCCTATCAGCCAAGGAGTTCTCATTACCCCCAAATCTCATAGTTTTGGTGTGTAGAAAGAAAATGACCGCCAATGAGAGTCTCAGGAGTTTTGCCGTTTACGTCTTGGACGTGCTCGTTGAACCGTAACCGAATGGGTCTTTTTGATTCACCAACATTCGATACACTCTCACTCCTGCCCTCACATGTCAAAAATGCTTCGCCATACGGTACTCAAGAAGTCAGATATTCGCTTTTAAAGCGCGACATGCATGCATTGCACATTTGCTTTCCGGATGGATATGCAGGCTGTGAGCAAGTTGACCGAACTAGACCGTGTTTTAAAGTATGCTGATTTTGCATGCTCTACGAACATTAAGATTGTAATTTTTTACTAGGATAACATTAACGGCGACCTGGATAAGATTATATTTTTTACTAGGATCACATTAAGACTAGACTTTATGACTGAGATAAAAGCAACATTATACTTTTTGACTAGGGTTACACAGAAATTACACTTTCTGACTGGGACAATATTACAATTATCCTCTTTTATTAAGGCAGGCCTTCAACTGACTTATAAGATTAAAATCCCGGCATTTCATGAAAAACTACTTCTGCAGAAGGTACATAAACTTTTATCTGAATTCAAAGGACACCGTTAGCTCGGTCCATTAAAGCTCCCATCAATGCAGTGGGTTTCTACAGCGCTACAAATCGAATACAGGGAGCTGGATTACTTGCGCATAGAGTTCTCGTAACAGTAAAAAGCCCTAGGTTTTGAAAAATATCAATAGCGTCGTTCAGATCCGACCTTGGATCAATTAGTCGCCAAGGGAGAGATGAATAGTGCCCATTCCAAATTTTGAATTGGACGATATGAAAAAGGCATTCTACAGGCAAAATTTCGGGGATGCACACATGGACATACAATACGGGACAAGAACGGGACAAAAGAACAGGACAACGGGACAAGACGGGACAAAAACGGGACATACATTAAGAACGGAACAAATATCATGTGATCTGCCCTCCTCATTTCCATAGAGGCTCAATCTGCATAAAGATTTCCCAAACGTAGAGTGGTTAACGCAAACCTGTTAACCACCACACTGCCTGCACACTGGGGGTCGAACAGCAGGCAAGGTAAGTCAGGACAGGAACGAAAACGACATGACAAGACGGGTAGAACAGAACAGAACAACAAACAGAACAGAACAGAACAGGGCAAAGAAGAGGGTAGCACAGTACAGGACAGCACATAAATGGACAAAGGGAAATTCGTCAAAATAAATTAAGAAGAAATGCTTTCACCATCTCCACCCCGAATGTAACATCAACCTCGGCTCAAAACTACGGAAGTTGCTCCGTGCATTAGCGAGGAACATTGTTGATATAGATAAGACATAAGTAATACATTTATTCCTTGGAGAAAAGCGAGGAGAATGGAGATAAAGTTTGGTCGGTATTTCGGCGACATGCCTTTATCGCAAGGCATGTTGCATGATAAAGCCATGATAAAGACATGTTGCCGAAATATCAACCCAACTATATCTTCATTCTCCTGGTTTTTCTCCGAGGAATAAGGCTAACACTGTTAACTTATCTATGTGAACCTCGGCCTCTCTCCCCCCTCCGCCTCTCCCCCTCCCCTCTCGGGTCTTGCACTCCCCCCTCCGCCGCCCTTCTTTCCATCTAGCGCCGTCGCCATCGCTGCGCATGGAACACCCCCGTGTTCCCCTGAAGGTGGAGCACTCCGCGGCGGTCTTCGGCCGGCGCGGGCGGCGGCTGGCTGGCGACGATTCCGTGGACCGCGCACGGAGGGCCTGCACTGCTACATGCGTCTCGTGCGGTGAGCAAATGCTTGCAGACCGGCTGATGATGGTACGTGTAGTGATGGCTCAGTGACTAAGATATTTCGGATTGAAGTCCCATCCCCTTCCCCTCCCCACCCGTGTACCTGGTGTGACCATTATCCATCGCCTTATGTGTGTAGGATGCTGTAATGCCTCGCCTTTCCAATCTGTTTCTGTCTTGCAAACGTCAGCTTTGCCCACAGCTTGAGGCCACCCGGGTACCGCAATGTGCACATGGCTGTCTGACTCTGAATCATGCACCTAAGTTTTTAGTAAGATATGGAGAACAGCACCACAACAAAAAAGGAATAGCGGATTTGTTCATACCGTAAATTATGAAGTTGTATATTTTTTTAGGTATTGCCTAGCATGGTGCAGCTATTTTCAATCTCACATTCACCCATATCTGATATTATTATTCACTTTTTATGAAATAAAGCTCAGAACAAAGGTATACGACGATTCAGCGTGAAGTTGTATGCGTCCAATCAAGGCACCCAATCACAAGCATTGTAACAAAGCATGAAGCGCGTGGATTGGCTTCCGCAATACCATTTGCTGGGCTGTTTTGTACCAGTTACATTTCGGTCATATTGAGTCTGCATGACTTTTTACCTTTGGCACCACAGTTCACCGGAACCGGCACCACAGCCACCGGAACGCGCCGTAAAAGTCAAGTACTGAACTGCAGACTCTTGTCAGACTTCTTTGATATCTGGCCGACATCAACTTCAGATAGGACTCCGCCTCCGCCCCGGCCGTGCTCCATGAGACACGCCGCGTGCGCGCGCCAGACGCGGCCGGCACCTCTGCTCGCGGCGCGCTCTCGGCCGGCGTCTGGCGCCAAATTTCGGCGGCGTCGACGGCCGCGGGCGCGCGCGAGCCCGCCGCCGTCGGCAGTGTGTCCGGTCCGGGCCGCCGCCGCGGAGCCGTGCCGTGTGCGGAGGCGTGCATAGGCGTGCAGAGGGGTGCACAGACGTACAGAGGGGTGCAGAAGGGTGCAGAGACGTGCATAGGGGACAGTGGGGTGCGGGGCGTGCAGAGGGGTGCAGAGGCGTGCACTGTGGGACTGCAACTGGACACGCTTTTGGCGGTTCACAGGTGAGCCAGCCCACGTGCAGAGGCGTGTCATACCACGTGCAGAGGCGCGCACAGGTGTCCACCGTGACACTGAAGCGGAGACACGCTGCCTGCGGTCTGCAGCCGAGTTGGTCAGCCGCGGACCTGGGTCGTCGCACGTGCGGGTCGCTACACCAGTTACCTTCGAGTGGAACACATTTCTGTGTGGTCTAAGTCCTTAGCAGTGCTGTTTTACTGCTCTGGAATTTTGACAGCGGCCGATTTGTTCACTCTCCTCGGCGTATTCCTTCGGTCCTGATCGATTTCCCGCGGCCCAGTAGCCTCTTCTCGACATGTGGGGCCCGAAAGCATGTCTCAAGCCTGGGAACAGCGCCCCGCCTGGATCCGACGCTGCACACGTCTCTCCTTCCGCGATGTCATTCTCTCCTCTCACTGGCCCCCTCTGCGCGGTGCCCCAGGCGTGACGCGAGCCCCGCCGCTGTCGAACGGCAGCCCTCACCTGTCGTAGGCCGCGTCTCCCGCGGGCTCTAAATATGTCACCGCCACCGCGTGTCAAATGTCAGCGGCCGATGGAGGCCAGAGGCCCTCCCGAGCCTCGCCCTGTCCCGGGTCACGCTCTGGCGGGGTCCGAACCGTGACCTTCGCTGCGGCTCGTCTCATCATCGCGAGCGAGCGTGCCCGCTAGCTCAGTGTCAGCCTGAGCTGCTCAGTGTCAGCCTGGGCGTGTCCGCTATCTCAGCATCACCCTGGGTGTGCCCGCTAGCCCAGTGTCAGCCTGGGCGTGCCCGCTAGTTCAGTGTCAGCCTGAGCGTGCCCGCTAGCTCAGTGTCAGCCTGAGCGTGCCCGCTAGCTCAGTGTCAGCCTGTGCGTGCTCGAACGTCGTCTTTAACGCATGCGACACGCCTAACGCACGGGAACACGCCTGAAACACGCAGACGGCGAAGTAGACAGTTCTGTGACGAGCCGACAGTTCTTGGGAATCCGGTGCGACACAGGCAGAGAATGCTACGAAACGTGCACGAGAGTGCCTCGAAATGCGGTAGCACGAGCATTCAGCAAGGTGCCGCAACGTTTGTTTTTCCATGCCAATGCGCTTTAAGTTGAGATATTTTCAGTGACGGCTTGCGTGGTGGCTGTCTCACATGTGTTACTACTCACTCACCAATCACGCGCACCCGCGCAAGGGACAGGCCAAATCTTTGGAAGCGTTGTGTAGGTATCCTACGGCTGGTACATGTCGGAGAGGGAAGGAAGGTCATGTCTGGCTTCATATACCTTTTCACTACGCTCACTGTGCCTGCGAAACGAGAGGTACCGGGATCGATTCCCCGCGTTGCCTGCCCTCCCGCCAGGCTGAGAGGCGAGTGCCGCCTGGTCGCGTCAGCAGCTGACTGCGTCGTAAAATCCAATTGGTGGCGGCGCTGCGTAGTTTGACGGAAGGTGCCACCGAACGCTGTTGTGGCTGCCGCCATCAACGCCCGCCGATCCAGCTCCCCACGGTGTTGCCACAGCTGCGTTGACGAAAAACATGACATGAAACGCGGCGCCCGGAAGCCCAAATAATCAATCTATCGGTCAGGTAAAAACACGGCTTCAGATGGGTCTCGCATCTCAGTCGCAGCCGACAACTGCTCTCGACGGCCGTCCGGTAGTCTGTCCGCCAGCCGTCTGCCGTGTCTGTCAGCTGTCTGCCGTTGTCTGTCAGCTGTCCGCTGTCTAACGGTATCCCTCCCGACGGACGGCAAAGCGCTGACGCCCCGTGGAGTTTGAAGATGAGTCATTACAATGCGGTTGTGGTCATTAGAATCGGACTCTTCATTGTCCGAGTCGGGAACTTAAGCTCCTGTTAGAGCCGAATCCTCCAACTCTCTGCGACCTGCCGACTGCCGGGGGCGTTGCGGCAGGTGAGTGACGTCAGGTCAGGTTATAAACTGCTGAGTTATGCCGATGGTTTAGACCATGCACGGTTTCGGCATATGCTTCAAGCCATGAATCAGTGTCACCCGATGGTTCAGCCCATGAACCAGTGTCAGCCTATGGTTCAGACCATGAACCAGTGTCAGCCTATGGTTCAGACCATGAACCAGTGTCAGCCTATGGTTCAGGCCATAAACCAGTGTCAGCCTATGGTTCAGGCCATAAACCAGTGTCAGCCTATGGTTCAGGCCATAAACCAGTGTCAGCTTATGGTTTAGATCATGAACGGGCCTCAGCCAACGGTTCAGAGCATGCAACTGGGATCGGTAGACCGGCGCTGCGACTTGATGTCAGCACCTCTATAGTCCCGCTGGTCAGTATGCTGTCCCCAGCCGCATTCGGGAATCATCGGCACGCCGGTAGCTGTCAGCAGTGAGATACCTGAGAAGACACCCTGCTCGGCAAGAACGGCTGGGCTGCCAGTAGGTCGCCGTCGTTAGGGACGAAAGACCATGTTGGTATTTCCTGTGACTGCGCGTCGAACAAGTGCGTGTGTTGTTTCATTTGTCTGGGGTCGGTGCAGGCCGTTGCATCGACTTTTTGCGCCATAGTTAACTGTTGTTTTTTCAAAAGTAACATATCGCTTTCATTTAACTTTTATCAATACGTAGTCTAACTTATGGTAAAGCAGAAGTGGAGACAAAATGGGAACATGGGGCACGCCCCCTTTAGGTTCCGAGGGGCCCCTCGGAGCCTACGATTGAGGGCCCGATCTGGGATTCGAAGGGTACGAAAAGCCAGCAAGAGGTCTCATTCAGGGCCCGGCCGGCAGGACCGGGAACTCTAATGCGAGCCAGAGGGCCCTGCACGCCGATCAGGGGCCCCTGAGTCATTAAGGGCCTATGTGTTGGTCGGACGCCGCCGGTAACGCACAGCCGGATCTGTGGCGGCATGGGCCTGAGGGCTCATTTCCCAAGCAGGGGCAGAGGCGGAGCCAGCGATTTACATCGGCCGGGGCCTCTGTATCTGTCAGGAGCCCGCATTACCTAACAGAGCGTCCTGTGGTCGCGAGAGGCCTCGATCCGACCGCGGGAAGTGTTTGATGAGTTTCGAAGAGGGGCCAGGCGACCCAACGGAACCAACTATGCAAGGTCCAGTTGGAGGGCACAGGGGCCCGAAAGACGTGTATTATTGCCGCACCCTCGCTTTTATCGTGTAACTTGTAACCCATTGACTCAAATCAAATATTAAGCCATACATGTGGAACTATTCGTAGTTCCGAACGTAATATACGCCCGGCTACCTTCTAAATGTACGGTTTCTCAAAGCGGTCAACGATTCTCCTTTCAAATGTGTCATTATTTTCGTCCATCCGTTGATCACGGCTTAATGTAAGCCGCAGGACCGACGCTGCACGGCCTACAAAAGCTGCAACACCGGGTATCAAGGCTTTTTGCTAAGATTTGCGAGCGCGCTTGCTTAAAACTGTTACATAAGTTGTATTATTAAACACTTCTTATTGAATGTTGGCAATTTCCAGGCAAGCTTTGCTTGGCCATGGTACTACGAATTGTTGACCCATTTTGATCTACATTCGCTGGGTCCTTAATATCTCTCTACAGGCCAAATGCAGATTATGACAAAGCATCTGAGTTCTCCCGTTTTAAAAAGAGTTCACTGTACAGTTGTAAGATTGAAAGCGCAGGCGATTTATTCAAGTACTCCCTTAATGCGTGATTTTTCTCTTTCTATCGAAGATAGAAATCGGGCAAAATTGATCTCGCCGTACTTTTTGGCCTCCATTCCAGTCATGGAAGGTATAAAATGACAATAACAAAATGACGTAACTGCACTTGTTTGCTCTACACGCAACTGCACTGCACCCCACTGCTTTGGAACCATTTGTGATCGTCATGGCACTTGAGCGTCAACACAGGAGGCAGACTTAAAGAAATAGGTGTAAAATTAAGTATGAATATAAATAAATTAGTTAGAAATAGGTGTCAAATTAGGAAGAATTAGGTATCGGGTGTGGCATAATATATGATGGGCGTACAGTGCTGGTTACACGCATATCACACTGTAACCAGACCCTTACTTCCGTGCACATTGTTTTGAATTTGGAAAGAGCACACGTGCGAAGTGATTTTCGCTTTTAACTTCGGAAAAAATGCACATGCAAAGTGATTTTCGTTTGAATCTCGAAAGAACGCTCGTACAAATTGATTTGGCATGCATGCTAATGGATAATGCATGCAATAGAAATACAGATGATAATCACCAGTGAAACTGTGGAGTGCGGTTTAATGCAAACATTACACCCGGCGAGGGGGGGGGGGCGCTCCCAGGTCGTGACCTGGCTCTTGCTTCATGAACCGGTTTGAGGTTTTAGGAGACGTGTCGACCACGTGATAATCCATATTTACAGGACATATTTCGTTTTTGTTCAGCCATAGCCTGCGGAGCTAGCGTCTTGGCCGAGTCTTGCATTCAGTTTGTCGCCCGTTTATTATGCGTTTTTCAGCTTGGTGAATTTACGGTTACGGTTAGTGAAGCAAGGCACTGAACTTGTTTGGTTTGAATTGAACTTAGTGTAAGAACATACACTTCGTTTTACCTGAATTTTAAGATTTGTTCTGCGTTGGTTCTGCCGTTTGTCAGGAGGCGTTTGCTTTTCTCCACGGCTCTGAAGGCTGCGCGTTTAAATGAAATGGGTTTTGATATGGCTCATGCTGTGCCACCACGTGATATTGAGTAAATAGATCCCTCAGCCCCCCCCCCCCTACTTCACCCTGCGCGAGCTCGAGCGCGATGACCCGATGCCCCCCCCCCCCCCCCACCAGCTTCCTTCTGTCAGCCGCCGCATCATGTCACGGCCCTCGCGCCTGAAGCACTTTAAGTAGATGCCTGCTTATACCGTGACATGATTAGTTGTGTTCAACATGGCGGCGCGGAAGGCGCATTCGGGAGCCGCCATGTTTGCCAGCTCGTCGGAATGCCGCCTCCGGCTCACTTCACGAACTGGTCCAATCTTTTGCAATGGCTTTGCATGTTCTGCTCTCCACCACTGATTGCTTTTCTCTAAAGGATGGATGGACGCGCAC